TATATATATATATATATAAGTTTCTTAACTATTATATTAGGAAAAATAACTTTTAAGGGACATTTAGTATACAATTGTTTTTTCATGTCAACCAATTATGATTCATGAAAATCACAAATCTTAAGAATTATGATTCCTAAAAATCGAGATATTTTTTCGTCTTTGGGAATTATGATTCATGGGAATCATAAATATGACATTGTATGTTTTTACTAATTATTATTATTAATTTTATTAAATTTTTTGTTGTGTTAATTTGTTGTAAAATTTTTTAGAAACTCAAAGAATTAGTGAACTTATGAGTCTTAGGCAATTAGGGAGTTCCTCGAGACAAAGATCCAAGTTGACCCTAAAGAAAAGGTATACGTACTATCCGTACTGTGAAACCGAGCAGTTTTAAAGTGAAGCTTTTGTTCCTATAATAAAAAAATTAACTATTGTGTAGACATACAAACTAGCTTATTAAACAAGTCATTGAATCTTAATGTTTTTCCCCCTCCATGCCCACTTTCAGTTTTCTTGCAGCATCTCACTCCAAAGGATTAAAAATAGATTTCTACAAACTCTCTTAGCATGTAACCTAGAATGTGAGCCTTCAATTTGAAAGTTGAGCTATGATGCACAGATACAATACCAAGTATCAAATACAGTGATACAATTATTTTAAAAATACAGGATATGGTACATGTAATATACCTGTGATTTTGATCAAAATTCATAAAACATAATAAAGGACATGTTTCTTTGTGTGTCTATATATATATATATACACACACGTGTGTGTGTCGTACAGCTGTATTAGATTTATTTTTTAAAAGATGGGAAATTTCACCGATATTATTGATACCGAATAAGATTTTAATATTTTTTTTCAAGGCTTAAATACATCACTCATATGTATTGGTGAAGTATCAAAGAGTATCATTATCGGATAAAGTGAAGTAAATTGAAGTAACGCCGCTTCATAGGTTTTGAGTTATCTCATATAATCGCCTAAGCTGTTTGTTTGAATTATTACCTGAGTGCCTGTGCTCTTGATGCAAGGAATGGAATAACCTGCATACTAGATGACCCTCTGCAATACATAGGATGACAACGTAGACCTCGCAGCCGAAGCTTCTGTCTCAAGTCATCAACTCTCTTTGCCTGAGAAAGACAATAACAAGATCATTTCAATCAATAAAACCACTTGCCTTGAGCCCTTGACTACTTCCAATAAGCAAATACACCAGTGAATTTCATGTACCTTACTGAGATCCTTTATTTTGTACGAGACACAATGAGCATTGCTAGATTTAACATCTTCTTCAATGGGGCTGGAAGATTTATTTTCTCCAGCTTCAGCAGTATTCATAAGATTCCAAATGGTTTTCCTTAGGCCTTCACAACCCCAACGGTAGTCAATATGCGCCGCATAATCCAGATCAGGTGAAAGCTTTCCATCTTCGGTATAAGTACCGGGATAGTAAACTTCACTTCCACTGCTGCAAATCAAAACATCAAAATCATTTGCTTGAATGTTGCCTGATTTGAGGAACTCTACTGTTTCTAGCATTGGCATTGCTGTTGACAAAGCAAATCCTGAAACTCTTGCATTTTGAGGGTCTAGTTGAACAGCTTTGATGATCCTTTGCACTATCTGGATCATTTTCTTATCAGGAGCTCCATTGTTGTCATAGAAATCTAGTGCTATAACGATCAACCAACGTCGTCTCCTCAACAGAGGAAATTTCCCAGTTACACTGTCAGGCAACTTGTTCACACCATCAGTGTCATTTACACCACCAGAATCTGGCTTCCTCATCCGGCTTAGGAGCCGCTTCACTTGGTCTTGCATATCAGAATTACAGCTTGCTCCTGCTAAGTCGGCATCAATTGAGAGCCTAAGGGACATGTCCTGCACATCCTTGAGTGAATCATTGAAAGACTCTTCACCAGTTATATCATTCCCTGGAGTGTTAGTTTGCCATTGTGGATGCCTCATTCTGCAGGCAGCCACCCTTGTCAAATAGGTACGACAGTGTTCCGGCCATGAGAAAAGGTGTATATTCTTCCAACCATTTTTCCTGCAGTCATGCCACATGTTTTTGTCTGACAACAACTTGATCAATGCATCAGTAATTGCTTGCTGATCATGAGGGTCCACAAGCAAACCATTGTTCAGGGCCTAACATATCAAAAGGAGACATCGTAAGTGGCTGCAAGGTTTGGAGCCTATAACAACCTTTGTAACAAGAGATTGTTGCATTTAAATGTGAATTTTATGTTTTACGATTATATCTGAGAAAATAGTTCACACTGAACATGGACCAGGAAACTAGTACAAAATTCATTTTACCTGATGAATGTCCACCGGTCCCCCATTTTTAGTGGCCACCATTGGAAGCCCATGTGCTGCTGCCTGCATGAGTTTGAACATGTTTAGAGATGAAAAGGGATCATTGTGACATTAAAAGAGAAAAATATGACCAAAGTAGCAAGTTAGTTAAATCCTACCTCAATTAATGTAAGACCAAAAGGTTCCACTAAAGCAGGATTGATGAAAACACCCTGAGAGAAATTTCAAACTTTTAGCTTTTCATAACTATTAAAATATAAGTTATTTCTATATATAAAGTAAACTACTGAACTTCATTATACCTTTGTTTTTGCAGCAAATCGGTATATATCTGGAACATCAGATTGCTTGTGATGTTTAGGGTATGCCACTTGCCCATATAGGTCATACTTATCAATCAATTTCAACACTGTTGTGAGCACACTAGCATTCCCAGAAGACATCTCATCTATGTCATCCCTATTTCCCATTATGAGAGTCTGTTTAAAAACACATTAGTCTTCTACAAGTACTTAACAATAGCTTCCACTGAGAGGGCAGATGAATTAAGCAACTTACAAGATTAGCAAGTTCTCTTAAGGGACGGCTTTCTCCAAAGGCTTTTAACAGAGTGGTTAAGTTCTTCTTTGGATCTGGCCTTGATAAGGCCAAGATCACAGGCTTGTGAGGATTTATAAAGAAACGCATCACCTGCACTAAATTGTGAGTAGGAAGCTGGCAACAATAATTAATTAGTAATATTTATAGATGGATCTGGATTATCAGTTACTCACATCTGACCAAATTGAAGGCATTGCTTTTGGTGAAGATGCTTCAATCCCAGCAACAAGCTGAGAAACCTCTCCTTCAACTTCAGGGCCATCTTCTTGGATCACAACATTGCTAAAGTCCATACCTGGAGGGATAACCTGCAAGAAGTTTGAACCATTAGTACTTCACAAAGTCATTCAACAAAAACACTCTATTTAGGTGATGCAATGAGCATACAAAAACAATAAAGAAAGTAACCAACATATTCATCCAGTAAAGAGATTAAAACTTGATGGGGTTATTTTTATGGTATTTGTCTGAGAGGATATTTTATGAGTTATTTTTATAAGGTTATTACACAAACATACTCCACAATGATGAGATTTTTTCCGCTTTGGGCCTTAGCCCTCACGGTTTTGCTTTTGGTCATCACCCAAAAGGCCTCCCAATCATTGAAGTATGTTTGTATTATATAAGTTGTTATTTGTTGTATTATTTTATCGATGTGGAACTTGTTTGAATCCCAACAATCCTCCTCTCAAACAAGGGACCTAACCTTTCATGCAGCGGAATCTGTCTTTATATAGCACATAGGGTTATTGGTTGTCACCGAATCCAACCTGCGGCTCTGATACCACTGATGGGATTATTTTTATGGTATTTGTCTGAGAGGATATTTTATGAGTTATTTTTATAAGGTTATTACACAAACATACTCCATAATGATGAGATATTGTCCGCTTTGGGCCTTAACCCTCACGGTTTTGCTTTTGTTCATCACCCAAAAGGCCTCTCAATCATTGAAGTATGTTTGTATTATATAAGTTGTTATTTGTTGTATTATTTTATCGATGTGGAACTTGTTTGAATCCCAACAAAACTCTTTAGGTGGTTGCCATTTCCAAAAAGAAGTTTATCCAAAGTTTTTAAGAAAAAGATATAATTGGCAGAGAATTTTATGCAGTGGAGTTGAGTAGGTAAAATATCATAACTTCAATTAGAACATTAACTCTCCTTCAAATTTTAAGGTGACATCAGTTAACAACATATTACCGCCATCCTTGGCATGTATCGACCATGACAGTTGACACCACGCCTAGCACGAGCTCGCAATACTTTCTCAAGCTTGACATCAAATCCATCATAGAGTCCCCACTGCTCCTCAATTTCTTGTTTTGTACTAGTGATGACAAGTTCTGCTGCATCAAGAGAAAGTTCTTCTGCCTCAATCCTCCTCATCATTTTATATGTCGAATTGATATCCTCTTTTGATTGGCGTCCCTGCTTAAGAAGCTGTTCAAGCTTGTTTCTTCCAAGTGAATGACCTGTCAGCACCATTGGTACATTTAAAGCACCTGAAAGAATAGCTGCACTATCTCCAGCATCAGCATAATGTCCATGAATTACATATGGCCAGACAGGTTGCTCCCCACCAACTTGTTCACCCAATACTTTTGCCATATTGAGAATGTGAGCCAATGCTCCATCCACAAATTCTTGAATATAAGGCCAAAGAAGTTCTTTCCGGAGGTATTTATTGCGAGGACCAAAGGGTATTCTTATGATATATGCCCCACTGCTCTCCCCAATGTTATCATCATCATCATCTGCACCTGCTGTCAACATTTCTGTAGGCTCTCCATAGCTCCAATCAATTTCAGGTGATGAGATTTGGCGCGTAAACAGATCCACTCTATATACTCCAGGCATTTTCGCAAGCGCACGGGCAAGTTCTACCACATATTTAATCTGGAAATACATTGTTTATAGTATTAATCATCATTTAAATGGAACGACAAAAGATATTATATTGTAAGTTTGTGATTTATGTGTGTAAGAATGTCAAAGTACCTGTCCACCAGTATCAGAATCTCGACCAAGCTCCATGTTTTCTCCTCGAACTAATCCATGCAAACTGTAGAATACAAGGACAATGTTAGCAATCATCACAATCACACATTTCTAGAGTTTGTTTCCTCAAACATTTCACAACACTAGTGTCTGCAAAATGGAAATAAAATGCTTAAAATTTCATAGGTAGCATGTGGTTTCTTATTTCTTGATAGCAAATGCCTTCCTAGCAATGCAATTTCAAAATTCCCCCTTTAATAAGATTGATCTTGAGATAGCCCCCAACTAAACCCACAACATTTCTCATTATGCAAAACCAGGAAAAAAAAATTCTAGGGCAGAAAAAATATCATTATGATTGTTTTAAGACAGGGTGAAACTTTAGAACTGACTCATTGATTCTCATTCATATCATCTGAATTAAGCAGTAAAATGCATCTGAAGCAATGCTAAACTATTTTTGTTGATCACAGATAAAGGGAATAAATTTGAATCTGTTTGCCACTATGATCAATGAGTATTCCTTGACACATTGACACAACCTCAGAAATTTGTCTAGACAATTTATAATCACAAATGTCAATACAAAGCACCTCTAGGAGTGTGGATACAATACCTTATGAGGACAACATATAGCCTCTTTTCCTTCTTGTCATCAGACCATACTTCTAAGTTAGAAATCTGACGCTGAAATTTTTTCTTTGGGGTCTCACTTTGCGCAATCTCCCCAACACTATCACCTTTCTCTCCTTCTGACAAGTCTTCAGACATTTCCTCTGTTGCTTCTCTGTGTCCTTGTTCTCTCTCCCATCTTCGGTGTGCTGCCCTCTGGACTTCCTCCCATTCGAACTACACAAACCACACATTGTTGCCTATTATGATCGTGCATCCATAGTAAAATGATAGTTCCCCATGTTTGTTAGGTGAAGGAGTAAACATAGTGAATTGATTGAACACTTAAAAGAAACAGTTTATACTATGCTGGCAAGAAAATTCCCCTCTCTAACTTTAGCTGGAAAACAGAAAACAATAACTAGTGCTAATTGTTCACAAATATGGCATAACTAAAGATAAATAAGTTGAATTGAATCTCCAAACAAATGGGCAATGTTAACTTAATGTACAGTGTATACACACATATATACATGTGACTAAAATAGAATCTCTACTTTCAATTGATATTACTTGAAAAATCTTTGTTGTAACTGAGAATAACAAGTTATCCTAACTTCAATCATATCAAAGCCCCCTTCAAGAAAATAACTAAATAAAAAGAATCACGAAGAGAAATTAGAAGAACCCTTTCAGAAGATCAAAATATCAGTCAAGAGAAACACAAACACTTTTTCCTATGCACACTCATGCCATGTATTTGGTTTGATATCGGTATTAATTCAATCATGCCATTGAAGTTGAATCTCAAAAAGAAAACACCATTAGATTTACAATTGGATTCCTGCATGAAGCTTCTTTGAAACCATATCATTTCAACCTTACAATTCATGTAGTTTACATGTCACATCAATTCATTCTATGATCAAACTACCTATTCCAAACATGAAGAGGGTGGAAGAAGAACCTGTTTCTTCTTGCGGGCAAGGTGCCAAATGCGCCAGCACATGTTCTCCAACCTTGAACTTCTCTCCCTGGTGTTCCTGGTGGCAACCACCTTGATCCACGTGCGGTACAAATCAGACTCATCAACACTTGTCACCACCTCTTCCACAAAGTACTTTGTGGGATTGAAATGCCCCCCATCTCTTAGAGTCACAGGTGCTGGCTTTTGCTCTTCAATGTTTGAGGCCCCAGTTGAAAGTATAGCCTCCAAGTACCCATTAATCCATTCATTCCCAGCCATCACCACTTTCTCACAGATTCTCTCAACAAACACTACAAAATTCTTAACTCACTAGATGAGGTCAGATATATGCATCATATGATGCAATTCGACTCGATCAAAGATCAAATTTTCATAGATATAATTTACTATCAGATTCTTCTTCACAACTTAAAAGGAAAACTACAAAAGAAAGAAAGAAAATAAAAAGGTGGGGGTATATATATATATGTATATGTTGTGAACAATGCAATGTTTTTGAAACCACAATATCACACAGTGCTCAAGTCCATCATGGTTTCGTGGATATTAAGGAAGCATGAAAAGTGAAAAACAAGGGAACTTTGTTTTGTTATGTTATGGTTCAAACTTCAAAGGGGAATTTTGTTGTGTTTTTTTTTTCCTGAGATATTGTTATGAGAAGAAGTGAGTTTGGATTTTTCTTTTTTTGTGTTTTTGATTTGGATGAAGGGAGTGCGTGTGTGTGTTGTGGTGTTGCATGAAGAGAACGTGTGTTTGGGATTGATGATGAAGAAGGGTTCAAAGATAGACAGCGTTGGGAGAATTACGAGAAGAGATGGGAAGGAACGTGTGTGTGTGTGATGGTGAGAACAGAGGAAGGGGTGGTGGAGAAGGAGATGCCAAAAGTGAGAGAGACACGTGGCAGGGAATGGTGGGACACAGAGATACACACGTGTAGACTATGAAGAAAAGATAGAGAGAGAAATTGGGCCTCTTCTCATGCATGATTGTTATGGAACTGAAATATACTAATTTCTAGGCTAGATATATGATTCATATAACTTTTTTAATAACATTTTTATAATATTTAATTTTATATGGTAAAAAATTAAATATACTGAGAATGATACTTTTATTATCCTTTCTCTCTTGATTAGACATGAAAATGATTTCTTTCAAACTATTTTTTTTATCAACCGATATTCTCAATTGTACAACTTTTTCTCAATACATTTTTTTTATTTAAATTATATGCTCTTTTATATATCTCTAAATTAAGTTTTAATATATTTTAGAAGAAATTATATGTAACACTTATGTTTAGGGTATATGAGTTGAGTTGTGAGTTATAATAGAAAGTTGAGGTTAGTAAGTTAATTTAGTCTTAAGAGTGGGATCTTATGGAACTTTCATAAGAAAAAGAAGGGGAATGCTTTTTTCCTTTCCTCTATTTTTTGAAGTTTAAGGGAGCAATCAAAACTTTTCTCCCCTCCTCCTAAAATCTTCCTTCCTCTTCTTCTTTCTTGTAGTTGAACCAGTGGGCTAGCTGAGGGATCAAGGCAGGAGGAGTTGAGATCCATCCTTAAAGTTGTATGGAGCTTGCTATCTTTTCCTTTATTCTTTTCGATTCCAAATTGTTAATGAGGTAAGGGAAGCTTGCATTATTTCTGTGTGATATGCATGTTGATTGATACCTTTCGAAACACTTAATTTTGTGTTGTATTGTTGGATTTATTGGTGGTTGAGTTGTGGGTCACAAAGGGGATTTGAGATTTTGATGTTCTCTTAAGTGAGTTGAGCAAAGGTGGATAATTTTGATGTCTTGATGGTTGCATGTGTTGATTTTGGTTGAAAATGAGTTAAGAATGTTGCATATATATGAAATTTGATGTTGCTTGTGGTTGATTCTAAGTTCCATGTGTGAATCTGAAGTTTTGGAGTTGAATAATAGTGATTGTTCTTATTCGGGAGCTAAGCATTACTCTCGATGTTGAGCATTGGGCTCATAGAGATTTAGGTGTTGAGCATTGCTCTTGATGCTGAGCATTAGGCTCAAAGATAGTTAGGTTTTGAGCATTACTCTCGTTGTTGAGCATTAAGCTTGTAGAAATTTAGGTGTTAAGCATTGTTCCCAATGTTGATCATTGGGCTCATAGAGAATTAGGTGTTAAGCATTGCTCTCGATGCTGAGAAACATTCTCTATTACTCTCATTTGTTCTTCTTGATGAAATTTACAACTAAAGAGGGTTTTTAAAGTTGGGAATCTTTGGCTCATGGTAAATCCTTGATGTATGGTTGCATGTTGCTTTGATTGTGAAATCTTGATGTATATGTATGTTATGATGATGAATGCCTATGTTGAAAGTTGATAGATGAATTGATGATGTTAAGATGTAAGTTGTATGTTGATACATGTTGTATGATATTTTAAGTTGTCTTATAGTTGAATGAGGATATATGAACTGTATGATGGATGATGTAAGATGATAATTATGTTGTTAAGGTGAAAGATAGTTGTACGTTTGGTGTTGAATATGATGATGTATATGTTATAAGATGGATGTTGATAGTTGTTAACGTTGAAAGTTGTTGTGTTTATTATTGTTGTAAAGTTGAAAGTTGGTATTTATATTGAAGGATGATTAAGTCATAAAGATATAAGTTGATACGATTTTATGTTGTATGGTTAGTTAATACATAAGTTGAATGATGTTTAAGTTGTAACAATATATGGTGTTAAGTTGTTAAGCATGTGGTTGTGATACATATCCATGTTACATAGAAACTAGAGAAGAGCTAAAGATGTTTTCGAACTTTAATATCCCATTGTGTGGATATATGTTGTGTTGAACTCATTAGTAAGTAAGTTGACTCCTAAATGGGTGTGTTATTTTCAATTGTCTCCTCTAAGCTCTATGTGGTATCCGTATGTGAGCAAGGTCAAGATATACGTGTATAAAGTGACCATGGTAGGGGCAAGGTCGAGCTATATTGATTACAAGTGACCAACCAAGTAAAGTAAGAAGTCGGAGTGAGACTTAGTCTCTAACCGAGTATTGGAAGGTTATGGTATTTAGAGGGTAGTCGGTGGACTAATCTCATAGGGCATTTTAAGCTAATGTCATGGTAGACTCATATCCAAATTATTCCACCTTGACATAGTACTATACTTCCGAGTTTAAGTGACAAAATCTAAGAAATCAATCTAGCTTATACTAACTATTATTTCTAGCTTTATGCTTGCCGTTATTTTTGGTAATAGTGTCAGACGCTATTTTTGGCCTTAGTGTCAATTGTTGTTTTCTGGTATTATACCAGCTATTGTAATTTGGTAAGCTCAAGCCACTTAAACTTCTCATCTCAATTGTAAAAGATCTCCATAAGTTGATATGTGTGAAGATACATCAATTGTGTGCGTGTGTATATGTATATATATATAT